AACCCTGAATTGGAACCCTAAATCAAGAACTCTGTGTTAAGTCCGACGGTGGGCCGAGCTTGTTACATCGCACAATGCGTCGCTCTAATACAAAATGAGGAATTAGGCTTATAAATAACCCAGTCAGCAGCACTCAATCGGTCCGTTGCTGGCTGGCCAGCTCTGGCGTACCAATTAAGGTCCAACACTAAACTATACCAGGCGCGCCAGAGCTGGTTAGACATGTCTGGACCATAGTTACGCCGATAACGGTTCTCCAGGGTTGGTATGCCTACATAGGCCCTATATAGGCGCACCAGCGCTGGTAAACTGTAGACGGTCCTGCAAAGGTACACCAGTACGCATTTACAGTGCATGTATATTTGTCGTGTGGTCGATCGGCTAAAGGAAGCATGTCATATTAATATTTATAATATTTAATTAGTTAATATTTGAGGAAATCTACAATTAGAGATATAGTCTGATATCAATATATAATAATGATATTATATATATTTATATATATAAAACATTGTATATAATATTATGTTTTATATATATATATATATATATATATATATATATATATATATATATATATATATATATATATATATATATATATATAAATTTATATATATATATATAAATTTATATATATATATAATATATATATATATATATATATATATATATATATATATATATATATATATATATATATATATATATATATATATATATATATATATATATATATATATATATATATATTATATATATATATATATATATATATATATATATATATATATATATATATATATATATATATATATAAATTTTTTTTTTTCTTTTTTCTATTGTACAGATTACAAACCTGTAATAAATATAAATATATATATTATATATATTTATATTTATTACAGGTTTGTAATCTGTACAATAGAAAAAAGAAAAAAAAAAATTTAGTTGTTTTGTATTTGGATTACTTTTTAATATTTTAGTACTACTAAAAATATATATTTATATATAAATATATATAATATATTTATTATATATATTTTTAATTGAAGCTGATAGAATATATGACGCTGATAACCGAACTACTAAACTGATAAACTGATACTACTAATAGTAGTATCAGTTTAGTTGTTCAGTTTCATATATCATATCAGCTTCAATTAAAAGTATATATAATAACAATATTATATGCACAGTCAGGTCAGGTTATCCTTATGTCAAGTCAGGTTATCCTGCTACTGATAACATGTAATCCAGTACAACCTGCCTCATGTTAACATCAGGAAGGGCATTCAGTTGTAAAACATTGCTTCAACTGTTTCATAATGGCATTTATGTCATTATAAAGAACTGTCCTAACCACACTAGTGTGGAAATATGGATATAACAATTACCAAAAAAATATATGTATATATATAAATATAAAAATTATAAATCATATTATATATATATATATATATATATATATATATATATATATGTATATATATATATATATATATATATATATATATATATATATATATATATATATATATATATATATATATATATATATATATATATGTATGTATGTATGTATGCAATATGTATGTATGTATAATCAAACTATATATGTATGCAGTATGTATGTATGTATAATCAAACTATTATATATAATTGTTTCACACACAAACAAATTGATTATTTTTATGTAAATATTTAGTGTGTAATTGATTTTGTGGTCCTTGTGATATTGAGTGCTGAATAGAACCCTTTGGATTCAAATTGGTGAAAAACTATTCAAGCAATTAATCTTAAGGTAAACCATTAGTGTAAATAAATATCTTTTTTTTTTATTTTGTTTGCTGTTTGCTGAAAGTTATGCTACTTTTAGGCAGTTTTAGCAATGAGTTACTGGACAAAAAGAAGAAAGATTTGAGGCGAAGTGCAACATATTTTAACTGAAATAATTGACACTGAAAAGCGTAATATTGATGTTAGAGAGAAATGGGCTACAGCAAGCTTATCACCTCAATTGTCTGAAACATTAGTGGTTCCTGTTACTGAATTAAGCAGCCAAACTCCTTTATTCAACCCTTTATTTAACAATTGCAGTGAGACATCAGAGAATTTTGCATCACCTTTGGGTGATGTTGATGAATATGACAAAGTTGAAAATGCCATTATGAGCGATTCTGAATCTGACCAAAGCTCTCAGTTCAGTATGATGGAAGAACTTGTAACAGATTTGGCATCATGGTCATGTTCTTTTAATATTACACTTACTGCGTTAGCTGCTTTGCTGACTCTTTTACGAAAAATTTGCCCTGATTTGCCAAAAAGTCCAAAAATAGTAATGCAGTCTGAAATCTACAAGAAAGAGGTACGTGACAGTTCATATTGTTATTTTGGCATAAAGCAAGGGATTGTTAATAGATTGTCACAGTTAGTTGCTAAAGGTACGACAGTGAATCAGGTAATTATGTTACAATTCAATATTGATGGATTGCCATTATTTAAAAGTTCAAAGATACAGTTGTGGCCAATTCTGTGTTTAATGGAACATTTTGATGGTGTGGTTCAAACAAATAGGGAGCCGTTTACAGTTGCATTATACTGTGGAAATAGCAAGCCGACTGATATTAATGCATTTTTGAAAGACTTTGTTGAGGAAATAAAAGACCTTCAGGAAACAGGAATCATATTTAACAATGTGTGTTATGAAATAAAAATTTCTGCTCTGGTTTGTGACACCCCAGCGCGAGCTTTTATTAAATGTATTAAGGGTCACAGTGCATATCATGGATGTGATAAATGTGTACAACATGGTTTTTATGCCGGGCGTACAACTTTTCCGGAAACAGCAGCAGCTCTTAGAACAGACTCATCATTTCTAGAAATGAAAGATCAGAAACATCATTATGGAAAAAGCCCACTTGTTGCTATTCCATCATGAGGAATGATATCACAGGTACCTGCAGACTACATGCATTTAGTTTGTCTTAGCGTAATGAAGAAAATGGTTTTTATGTGGCTCAAGGTACCTTTAGCCACCAGACTTGGCCCACGTGTGGTCAAAGATCTATCAGAAAAATTGGTTGACATGAGACCTTACATTCCATCGGAATTTGCGCGTAAGCCACGGCCATTTCATGAATTTGAACGTTGGAAAGCAACAGAATTTAGGCAACTATTGCTTTATAAAAAATAAAGCGGCAATAAATTGTGAAATACCATCTGAAAAATGGTCTAAACATTCTTGTCGAATTTTAGGGACCAAAGGCAAGTTTTATATGTTTTATTATAATATCATTGACATTGACATTATAATAAAAGGATGCAAACATAAATTGGTATTGTTCACAAATGTCAAATATATATTACTGACACATTGATATATTAGTTTCCTAAATATTAAATTTGACTTGACTTGTTTTATGTTTCTAGATATGTTTGTTTTCATTTTCTGAGTTAAATAAAATGATTAATATATCAGCAGGATTCAAAATCAACATTTTGTTTAAAGTCTACTACAATTTTTATCACAGATTCGTATGCAAAGGCCAGATCTAAACTTGGTAAAGCTGAGATTAATTTATTATATAAAGTAATATTAATTAATTAAACGAAATAGTTATTGTGTTAAAAAACAAATAGTGCATTGAAATTTCTACGTTATCTAATTTATTATTCCTTTTTGTGTGTGTTTAGTATTCAGAAATATCTTGAAGATGACAACGATAATAGTGATGAGTATTCTGACAAGGATTCTCAGCAAATAAATAAACAACCCCTTTGCCAAGTTTCTAAGAAAAGGGAAGGTTCTGCAGAAGGAAGCAACAGACGATCGAAAACTAAATCTCACAAACCAGCCCCTAAAGCACCTCCGTTTCCTGTGTCTAGTCCTTGCTCTTTAACACCTTCATCTCCTGTAATCAGTGAACGAGCCATACCAGAATCAATTTCACAGCCATTTACTAGAGCTATTGAACGAGGCTCTGAGTTATCTACATCACATGTAGCTAGTCAACAATCTGTAACACCTGCAACCACAAGTAGTTGGCAATCTGCAACATCTACATCTGCTGCTTGTTACCGAACTTCAACACATGCAGCATCAGAATTGCATACAATCAGTCGGCATAATTTAGAAGATATATCATTTGTTTCAGCAGGCGCCTTTATAGAAGGAGAGTTAGAACAAGTGATAGCCAACCTTGTTCCTAATATTCCGACTAGCTTGTCAATTCCAGCTACTAGTTTGAATGCCACAGAATTGTCTACAGCAGCTAGTCATACATCTGCACAAACATCAAACAGTGTTTTAAATAAAATATTTACTCTTTTAGTTGAGCTGAAAAGCGAAGTAGCTAATCTTCAGAAGCAGACTACTTACAACACTACTATGTTGCAGACTTTGTCACAAGGTGGGATACAAGACGATGGCAACATTTTTGAAACTCTTGATCTTCCTGTATGTGACCGAAAACAGCTGCAGCATCTTGAAGATATAATTACTAAAGACAATCTTTTATTTAATAAACTTGTAAGTACAATTTGACTTAATAATAACTTTCTCCAAAAAATTTGATATCTTAAAAACATCTTATGTATTAAAAATATTTGCATGCGAGAGTTTATGATCTATTTGAAGTAAGCAATACTTTACAATCTATAACTAAATTTTATCTTGCTTATAGTTTTGCTTCATCTTCAGGTTTGTACCGATCGAAACACGAACCCCCTGGAGGTTCGTGTTTCGATCGCCTCCCCTTTTTTTATTAGCAAATTCTCTAATTCAAGCAAATTTTAGCATAAAAATTGAGCAAGATATATATTTGCTAATCAAAAATGCTTTTTTTTCAAATGCAACCTGGCCTCATCCTAGTTACTGTTTTTATTTATTTCTATGATTTTTATGATATTGCCAAAATGCAGATGAAATAATCAATTAAATGTCGACGGTTTAATGTTTAGGTGCATGGTGTTGCTTCGAAGGGCGGTCAGGACCTGAAAGAAGCCGTTGGAAGGATGGTTTCCTCTCTTATGGAAAACGACGTAGTAAAACAAATGAATTGGTCAGGACTTGGTGAAAATCTAAAAAAACCCTTTCGTGATTTGAAATGCCGACAAGTTCTGGAAAGTAAGCGAAACTTAATTTTTGTTAATATCACCTATAATTTAGCAAATGAACCTCAGAAACAGTTGTTTACTGCATCAAAATTGCTTATTCTATGATATTAAATTTTAATTACTAGAAATACTTAATGTATAGAAAATATTTTATTTATTAATGTTAATTGTTATTATAACAATGTGAACTAAGTCAGGGCATAACTGCGTATTATATTATGATGCACATTTGCAGGAGCATTGCGAAGAAATCCACCAACGAAAGGTGCTTCAAAAAGTGATGTGCAGAAGGCCGTGGTTCACTATTTAGCAGGGGCTAGTGATCGTAATGGTAGTAGAAAACAAAGAGCCATTCGACAATCAATAAAAAACACTCACTTTGAACATCGTGCACTAATGCCTACAGCTTCATCGGCAGTTATAGAACAACCTTTAGTAGCGCCTAAAACTTCAGCGGAAGTTTTACTGCATCATTTGCCACTTTTCTGCTCAGACGACTCAAACAATTAGTTATGTTAAAAATTAGTTATGCTAAATGCTGCTACCTTATAGTTTCTTCAGAAACGTTTTAAAAGTTGTTTCCCATATTCATAATGTAGTTATATTTTTCGTGTATTAATATTGTATTTTATGTTGTGGTTATGTTTTTATTATGTACATGTGTTCAAATTACAGAATATATTTCTTTATACCTGGTTTTATGTTATTTTACAAATTATAAGGGTATTAATGGTTTGTTGAATAATTTTAAAATATTTTTTATTAAAGCTCCTTAGATATTTATTAAAGCTTTTTTGATGGACCGTTAATCCCGCTCCGGTGAGCCATTTGGGGACCTGCGTTAGACCAGTTCGGGTTTGCCATTTGCGGACCGCTGATAAGCCATCACTGGCTTGCCAATGGCGGACCACTGAAACACCAGCACTGCGCCTGCACTGGCAAGCCAGTGCCGGACCGTGACAAAGCCAGTGAGCAAATCGGCGCTGGCCCAGTGCTGGCCAGCCAGATACGGGCCAGCTCCGCAGCCTGCGCTGGGCCATTGCCGGACCGGTATATCGTTGCAGATTGGGAAGGAATTGTTCAACATATTAAACTGATTTTTTTTACAAAGCATTGAATTTTCGTTTATATTTCTGTATTTAAAATAAAATACCCATTTTTTTTTTTATTAAAGTTTACGGTTCATCCGGACTAATTTCTGCCTATTCCGGAAAATTACATATGCCCGTATTTTTTTATTTAAAAAACAATAGGCACCAATAATTTATAAATTTTTAAAAACTTCTTTATAAATTATAAAAAAATATCATTAAGTATAAACTTTTTAAAACTATGAACAGATCTGCTATCATCTGATTCTTTGTCCTTGAGTTTCTTACAATGTTTCTCAACGTTCTAATCTAAAAGATGTTTTTTAATAACTAGTGGTTATAAAAAAAGTTTTTTTTTTTTTTTAAATTCAACGCAGAATATCTTATCAATATAACATTTTAGTTCATGATATAGATCTTTCTAGATTAGTTAATTAATAGTTAAAAATTACAAAATTATTTCTTAATTTTTAAAAAAAACAACAACAACAACATAACTTTGAATAATTATTTTAAACTATATTGAGATTTCTTTACCAAAAAAAAGTTACAAAATAGTCTAAGAAAAATAGTCTAAATTGCTAACAATAGCATAACATAAAAAAAAACACTCAATAGAGGTACATATCAAAAGGAACAAACACATTATTAACTGTATTCCTTGTCTTTTCTGCCAAAAAAGTTAGACGTGCATGACTAACTCGTGCAGCTTTGCTTTTTTTGTTTCTGGCTTCAATAACAATCTCAGACAAAGATGATTAGAATATAGATTGTACAGATTGTGACATAGGTATGGTTTTTTGTAAAATGTTATTAGAAATAATTGCAAATAGATATTCAGATTTCTGATTGAAAATTTATATCCACTCTTATAGTCGTGGTGTTCATATCAATGAGTAAGTCTTGAAACAACTTATTTAATCAGGTTTAGGTGCTCTTTGTGGTACACTAAAAATAATAAAAAAACAACGTTAAAGCATATACAACACCAATAAAAATGTCAAAGTATTTTTGTGAAACATAGTAAAAACATTCCGTTTTTTTTGTGAAACATAGTAAAAACATTTGGTTTATATATATGTATATATATATATATATATATATATATATATATATATATATATATATATATATATATATATATATATATATATATATATATATATATATATATATATATATATATATATATATATATATATATATATATATATATATATATATATATATATATATATATATATATATATATATATATATATATATATATTTATTATTTATACTTCTATATCTCCATGTATATATATATATATATATATATATATATATATATAGGAAGATATAGAAATCTTTGCATTCCTTTAGATACTGGATCCATAAGTGAAAAGTAGTAAATCACCTTCTTTTAGTTTACGTTTACTTTGCTTGATAAGTTGATTACCCTGTTTAAACAGATATTTTTATAATTTGCTTTTTCTCTCCATTTGTCCAAGTCTATATTTCTTTTTATAATCTTTTGTATATTAATTGTAATTATTAAAAAAATGTAGGCATTGTATTTATTTAGCACTATATGTGATATACATGTATTTGTATACATGTGTGTATATTCATAGCTTGTTTAAGTTAAATAAGCTATGAACACAGACACACACACACTTTTAGACACACACTTTTACTCACAAACACACACACACACACTCACACTATTTAGCTAGTAACTAAATATAAAACATCAAAAACCAACAAAGTAAATATCTCTTGTGAGTACAATATGTTTTATATATTAAGTTATTACTATTGTTAAATTTTAAAAATAAATTCTCTAGAGGAGGTTTGGTTAAATCAAGCAAAGGTGTTGTTTTGGTATGCAAAGAAACAAAAAGATGTTTCCAAAGGTTTCTTCCATTAACAAATATTACCCTTCCTAATGATATAGGAATAAAAAATGCAAATGCAAGTGCTGTTTTGAGATCAGTTGGTTTATCAAAAGTAACGCAGAATTTACTCAACATATGTTTGATTCGGCTTTAACTGATAAGCATTTATTTTCACTGAATAAAGTTATTTTTAAAAAAAAAACTTTCACCGCCTAAGCTAAGAAGTTACTATAAATTGACTGGAAAAAAGTTTAGGAAGCAGTTGACTAAATTTGTCTAATTTAAAAATCAATGAAAACATTTGTTTTTAGTATACCATATATACACAGTAAACTCCTGATAATTCAAACCTTTAAAAAATTGAACTTCCAGTATTTGCTTGGACACTTAAAGGTTACGAGTTATCCGGAGTTATATATGCATATATTTAATGTACATACAAACATTTATATAGGGAAAGTGGAGGCATAACCACCCCCTTAAAGTTTGGAATAATGTTAGATGAAGATAAAAACGAAATGTGTTTTTTTACTAGTTTATTTCAATAACCACATTAATAAGCTTTAAATTGATGCAATTAAGAAAAAAATTAAACGGTTTTTGAAAATGTTATTTCACAAAAAGTACAACTAGTGAAAAAAACACTTTTGTCCCCATTGTGAGGCACAACCACATCCTCACAAAAAACATTGGAGACACTTTTCATGGTACATTTTCTTTACAATTTCCACAGCTCAGATTATTTGATGATTTTGTTGCATGTTTGCATAATTTGTAGGCATTCTTTTTATTTACAATTTAAGTTCTGCTCCAGAAGAGAGTTCTGTCTCAGAAGAGAGTTTTTTATAAAGAATTCATTTTCATAGCTTGCTTATAAGATTATGCTGATATCAAAAATGGTTTTCTCTTGATGAAATAATGCTTACCACACATGTCTTAAACACTTAAATCAAATATTGCTTAACTCTCAACAAAAAAGGTTTGGAAAAATATGATGTAAATATAAAACTTTTATCAAAACAAACATTATTATGGACAACTTCTCAGAAACGTAACAAGCGCACTTTTTGACATATGCAAAATGAAGGAAACTGTTTTACTAACGCGTGGTATGTTTCTTGCCATATTAGATAATATTTTTTCAAGGCGAATGTTTAAAAACGGTTGTGCCTTCTTATGTGGTTATGCCCCCACTTTCCTCATATATATATATATATATATATATATATATATATATATATATATATATATATATATATATATATATATATATATATATATATATATATATATATAATTATGCGAATTTCACAACATTAAGTTTTATGCTGATGCAATCATCAGATGAAATAAAAATAAAAGGTATTTCACCTGATGATTGCAACACATAGTTTTATTATAGCTCTGTTCATCAAGCACCTTCCTGATAGTATATGCACAAAACAGCACAATATATATATATATATATATATATATATATATATATATATATATATATATATACACTTACATAAATGTACTAGGTGAGTATACTTATGTGTGTGTATAAAGTTAGTATGTCTATTTGTATTAAAAGAAACACAGCATAAGATAATTAAGAACTAAAAGGTAAATAAATCGGTTATTAAATTATTTTGAAGGATTTTATTTATCTTATAATAAAATATATTTATACATATTCATAAAAATAAATAAATAAATATATATATATATATATATATATATATATATATATATATATATATATATATATATATATCGCTTAAATTAAATTTTATTTATCCTAATATATATATATATATATATATATATATATATATATATATATATATATATATATATATATATATATATATATATATATATATATATATATATATATATATATTTATATATATATATATATGTATACATATATATATATGTATATATATATATATATATATATATATATATATATATATATATATATATATATATATATATACCTCAATTTTTTTTGTGTTTGAAATTATTTCTTTATCGATTATGATAAAGGATTTTTGATTTTTCAAACGGTACTTCTATAACCTATGGCAAACTACGCCGCTATCTTGGTAGACCAAAACTGGCTTTAAAATTTTTTCTGATTACGCTATCCAGTTATAAATTTGAGATTAGTGGGTTGAACGTCGATTTTGTGTCTTTTGGCCAATAATAGATAAATAGACATTAAGCCGACGTTCAGCTAATGTACAGCCGACGTTTGGTCAATTTGGTTCTGTTTTTTATTTTAATGATGTATTATATAAAAAAAAAATTGAATAATAAGGCTGTTATGAATTGCAAAGTTGTTTCCCGTCCCCGCCCGCCTCGTATATTAAAATAATACGATTTTATCCATTATTTGTTTTTTGCGTCACAAAAGCAACAAAAGTAAAAAAACAAAAACGCAACAAAAGTAAAAAAACTGTTTAGTAAACAAAAACAGGCTATAAGGATAATTACAAACGTAGACCGTTTCTCTCACACTAAAACATTATTTAATAAACTTAATATTCTAAATGTATATAAACTAAACCTTTACCATATTCTTATCTTCATGTTTAAACTTGATAAAAAAATATCACCAATGTTATTTAATTCACTTTTTGAAAAAATAAACCACATATACCCTACCAGATTTTCAAAAAACAATTACATTCAATCCAAAACACATTATTCAGCAACCAAATTCTCAATTGCA